CAGTGTGAAAGGAAATGAGCTTCCACCTGTATCTCCCCTGCTCTAGTCTCTGAGGTAGAAACCAGGCTCCTGTACAGTTGTTATTTTGCATTGATAGCTACAACCCCCAAAAGCTTGTGGGAAATATTTTGAGTTATCGCAGCTAAGGGTGGGGGAGTTGGAAACCGGGTACCTGGATCAGCAGCAGAACCATGCTGGTAGCCATACCCCCTTTGATGGGTTTTAAGGGTTGATGGGCTTCCTCTGGGCTAGCACTCGGGGCGGACTGGACTTCAGCCTCCGGTCTGGCTTGGCGCTGGGTGTTTTCCTCCTCTGGGTTTCGTGAATTGGAAGAGATATTATTTAACAATTAACATCTTACTCATTTAGGTGCAGTAGAATTCTTTAGAATTTAGAATGCCAGAAAAAAGGGAAAGGAAGTCAAAAGACAACTCACAAAAGGGTGACTACTGTTACAATTCCCCACTGTTAATCCTTCATTCCCTCTCTCTTCCTTCCTTTCCTCTTTCTTCCCTCCCTCCCTTCTTTCCTTTTGGTTCAGTGGTTTGAACCCAGGGCCTTGCACATGCCAGGTAAGTACTGAGTCACATCCTTAAGCCTTTTAAATTTTATTTTGACATAGGGTCTCACTAAGTTGTCCAGGCTGGCCTTGAACTCGCTATACTCTGGCTTCAGTCTTCCAAGAGTAGCCAGTATTACAGGTGGACACCATCACATCTGGCTCTCCATTCTGTTTATTTATTTATTTTTCTCTCTTTTTTTTTAAAATGGTGAATGATAGTTGTACATAATAATGGGATTTGTTGTTACATATTCATACATGCACAAAATATAACAATATAATGTGGCCAATATCCCTCCCCAGCATTTCCTTCCTCCCTCCCGACCTTCCACTTCTTGGTCCCTTTCCTCCACTGATCCCTCTTTGATTTTTAGGAGATCTACTCTTACCCTTGTTTTCCTTTCTAGCTTTTGCATATGAGAAAAAAACATAGGACCGTTAACCCAAGTTTGACTTATTTTGCTTAAAATAATGGATTCTAGTTCCAACCATTTTCCTACAAAAGCTATACTTTCATTTTTCTTTACGGCTGAATAAAACTCCATTGTGTATATGTACCACAGTTTATTTATCCACTCATCCATTGATGGACACCTAAGCTGGTTCAATATTTTGACTATTGTGAATTGTGCTGCTATAAACATGGGTATGCATGTATACTATAGTAAGATGAGTTTAATTCCTCAGGGTAAATACCAAGAAGTGGTATAGTTGGGTCATATGGAGTGTCCACGCCTAGTCTTTTGAGGAGCCTCCAGATTGATTTCCATAGTGGTTTTACTAATTTATATCCCACCAACAGGGTAAAGGTGTTCCTTTTTCTCCACATCCTAACATTTATTATTATTTATATCTTGATGAATGCCATTCTGACTGGTGTGAGATGAAATCTCAGTGTAGTTTTGATTATTCATTTCATTTTTATGGCAAGTGGGCATCGACTCCATTATGGCTCTTTCCTGCTGAATGGAGGCAAACAGTGGGATTTTTGAAATGAAAGACTTCACGGGGTAAAATATGCAATTTTTTGTTTGTTTCTTTTTGTTTTTGGGGAGGGGTAGTCAAAGGCATTCGTTTGGCTGCTATTTTTTTTTTTTTCTGTTGTAAGGGCTCCCCATTCCTGTGTATTGTAGTTGCTACTTTTTTTGGCTGCTAATTTAAAAGTAATTTAACTAGTTCTTGTACACTTAATTCAATACTTTAAATCCTAAATAGGCTATAATGATGATGATGATGATGATGATGATGATGATTGAACCCCATGGTATTATGCATGCTAGGCAAACCCTGTACCACTGGACTATATTCCCACTAGTTTTTATTTTATTTTGAGACATGGTCTTGCTAAATTGCCTAGGCTGTCCTTGCAATCCTCCTTCCTCAGCTTGCCAAATAGCTGGCAAATATTCCAGGTATACACCACTACACCTGGCCCCATTATTGTTAGTAGTAGTGTTATCTCTAATTTTAAGATTCTTTTAAGGATGGATCTGATCTCAGATGGCATTCAAGAAAGTCAGTTAGAAAACTAGTCTCTGAATCCTTGGAGAATGAGGTTGGAAGGGGAATTTTCTGCCCAAGAAATTCATTGGAACCCAGGGGCAGTTCCAACCTGCATCTTCCCCCCACATGCCTTCCCTGAGGGGAGGGCCTGCCTGCAGAGAAAGAGCATGTATCAGGTGCAAAGAAAAACTCTTATTTGAGGAGAAAGTAGAGAGAAGAATCACAAAGGAGCCAGAGAAGGACGAAGCCAAATTGATAGGAGATGGTGACCAATGGTTTCCAACATTGAATATTGCCAATTGCTGGTCATTGTGCTCAGAGATGCTTTGTAGATGTCATCTAACTTGCTTCTCACAAAAGCTCCATGTGGCAAGTAAAATTCACACAGTTGTGGGTGAGAGAACACATTTCTTCATTTTTATTTTTTGGTAGTAGGGATTAAATCCAGGACTGCTTGATCACTGAACTATACCCCAAGTCCTTTTTATTTATTATTTTTCTCACTAAGTGGCTGAGACTGGCTTCAAATTTATGATCCTTCTGCCTCAATCTTCCTAGCAGCTGTAATTACAGGTGCATGTCCCTGCTCTTGGTAAAACAATACAATTAAGAAGGTTGCATGAATTGCCCAAGTTAACAAAGTTAGTTAATGATAGCACAATCTTTTTTTTTTTTTTTTGGTACTGGGAATTGAACCTAGGGGCTCTTAACCTCTGAGCCACATCCCCAGTCTCTTTTTTATTTTGAGAGAGCATCTCACTAACTTGTGATCCTCCTGCCTCAGCCTCCTGAGTTGCTGGGATTATAGGTGTATGCCACCACACCTGGCCAGAACAAGAATTTGAATTTTAGAAGCTGGTTTTATCTGTTTTTTTTTTTTTTGGGGGGGGGGTTGGGGGGGGAGTACCAGGGATTGAACTCAGGGGCACTTGACCACTGAGCCACATCCCTAGCCCTATTTTGCATTTTATTTAGAGACACGATCTCACTGAGTTGCTTAGCACCTGGCTTTTTGCTGAGTCAGGCTTTGAACTCATTATTCTCCTGTGTCAGCCTCCCAAACTGCTGGGATTACAGGCGTGCACCACTGCGCTCAGCTGGGGCGATGGTTTTATTCACAGTAGTGGGTTGAAGTGTGTTTTCCTCAAATTCATGGGAACCTCAGAATGTGACTCTATTAGAATATGGAATTTGAAGATATTCTAAGTTAAGATGAAGGCATACTGAGCTTGGGTTAGCCCTTAACCCGATGATAGTGTCTTGAGAAAAGAATGGAGAGAGTAGTTTGGACATGGAGACCCAGGGGATGAAGATCATGTGAAAATAGAGGTAGAGACTGGATTTAGGCTGCCATAAATCTCAGAACAACTGTGACAAAAACTCCTTTGACCTAGTTTGGCTCAGGCTGGTCTCAGCCTTCAGTTCCTGACCTTGGTCTGTTTAGTCTAGTTTACCTGGGTCAGGTTAATAAGAACCCCCCATTCTCAATTTCTGATCAAATTCCTCATCTTCTATTCTTGATATCTAATTCCCCTGCCTGCCTGCAGCAAGAATCCTGTTGAATTGATGTAGCAAGAATTTCCCTCACCTTTGATGTTTCCTCTTTGTGAGTTTATATATACTGATTCCCAGTGAATTCACTGATTCCCACATTACTCTTTGGTTATAAATTCCCACATTTTTTTTTTTTTTTTTTTTTTACGGGGGATTGAACCTGGAGACACTTAACCATTGAGCCACATCCCCAGCCCTTTTTATTTTTTTTTAAATTTTGAGACAGGGTCTCATTAAGTTGCTGAGGTTGGCCTTGAACTTATGATCCTCTTTTCTCAGCTTTCTGAGTCATTGGGATCACAGGTGTGCGCCACCACTCCTGGCCCTACTTTTTATTGTATTTTGAGTTTGCCAGATCACTCGCCCTTATTACAAAATCTATTTGTAATTGTTCCCCTGAATAAAATCTGTCTTATTGTCATCTCTGTGTGTGTGAGTATTTTGTTGTGCTGGGGATCAAACCCAGGGCTTCCTGCATGTTAGGTAAGCACTCTTCACTGAGCTATATACTCCAAGTCCCCTGCCTCACAATCTTAAAAAAAAGTTTTTTTTTTTTTTTTTTTTTACATCTGGGGTCACCAGCAGGTGGAAGTAGCAATAGTCTTTTACAGTCTCCAAAGACAGCATGAGTTTAGCTCAGTGGTAAAGCACTTGCCTAGCAGGTATAAGGCAGTGGGTCTGATCTTTACTCTCTCTCTCTTTCTCTCTCTCTCTCTCTCACACACACACACACACACTAAGCCTTAAATGCATTTGTACATGATTTTCCCAAAGTGTATCAGAACAAATACATAACATGCACATTCTATCAAGCTTACTCTCGATCCTTCTTTCTGTGATGAAAAAATATCTCTTTGTGCCACTGTGGAAATTAAGGAAACATGTAAGACAATGTGATCAGACAAAATACTTAGAAGACCTAGTTTGGATCTAACCCTAACCCTAACCCTAACCCTAACCTTTTTTATTTTTTTGTAAGAGACAGGTTCTTGCTGACTATAGCCCATTTCTAAAAATACAGTTACAATTTGGTTATTTTTTTGAAGTCAGACAATATAGTTGTCTTCAAATATTTGAATTATGCTCCAATGGAAATGTTAGGCTTAGTATATATCATCTCTGAGGAGAGACCCAGAAATAATGAGTGGAAAGTACATGGAGGAAGATTTCAACTGATTATCAAGAACTTTCTAAATATTTAAAGATACTTAATCACGAGGGCTGGAGATGTAGCTCAGTTGGTAGAGAGCCTGCCTCGCATGTACAAGGCCCTGGGTTCAATCCCCAGCACCATAAAAAAATAAATCCCCACCACCATAAAAAAAAAAATAATGAACTGTGTACTGTGTTATTTTGAGAAATAATGAGTTTCCTGTTTGAGGATGTTTCAATTTCCAGAGATTGGACAATTCTTTCCTGTGGTATTGAGGGCTCATTCAAGCATGGGAGAGGATTTGGATGGGATTGGAAGCAGTGTGGGATTGTGGTCAAGGGCCTGCCTCCAAAATGTGGCTTGATCTCTGAAGGGGAGAAAAAATGACTTTCTGTCTACACTCCATAGTTCTTAGTGGGGATTCCCTGTAACAAAGGGCAGATTAACGAGACAAAGCTGTACAAAGTTAATATAACACGTGTACCTCCTGTATGCCCAGGAAATTCTCAGGGAGATGCCTAGGAGTGAAAATTCAAGAGTTAATCTCAAAGGAGTGGTTTAAACTTGAAGCTTAGATGCCACTGTTTGCTGAGCCAGTAGGATCTGGAGAGGCAGGTTATGGAGAGATGGTTAGGAAAAGAAGGGTAAACATGAGCAAGGTTGTAATGCAAATGTAGGTCAGAGCCTTCTGCCCTCTGCTGTGGGGAGGGGGAGTCTAGTGATTTACTCACCTTTCTCCTCCTGGTGCAGAGGGGAGCCGCCATTATGCAGGGAGATTTCCTCTACAGATACAAATGGTTTCTCTTAGGAAAATGTTAATTGCCACTATTGTTTTTAGAGCTTTTTCTATGTCTGCTGTTTCTCAAAATAGTTTAAAAAAAATTGTTAGGCCAGACAAGCATATTGGGGTAGCATATTTCCACCCTCTATAGTCATATTTTGTAGTGATGCGCCCTGAACCCTATCACTGCTTACCAGCTACATGGCCTTGGAGAAATTATTCTGAGTCTTAGTTTTCTCATTTGTTAAATGCTACATGATCTAATGTATATGATATATAAACAAATATATAACATATTTTATAGCAATAATATGGGATTGTTTTAAGGATTAAATGAAATAATGAAAAGTATAGAGCATAGAGTAGATAATAAATAATAACGACAATTATTATTACCATTACACTGGCTGTATACATTCCCAGGCATGCCTGTAGCTATTATGAAAAAAAGGGCTGGGTAGTGAAGTAAGTTTGGGAACACAAGTTCTGTTCTTTATTTATTTGTTTATTTTTTGCAGTACTGGGGATTGAACCCAGGGATGTTATACCACTGAGCCCCATCCCCATTCCCCCCCCCTTTTTTTGTATTTTTTTTTTTTAAGAGGGTCTTGCTGTGTTGCTTAGGGCCTTGCTAAGTTTCTGAGGCTGGCTTTGAACTGGTGATCCTCCTGCCTCAGCCTCCCAAGCTGCTGGGATTATGGGCATTCGTCACTAACCCTGGCCTGGCATGTGCTCTTTTTACTTAAAGTTGCTGAGGCTGTCCTCAAATAGGATCTTGCCAGGTTGATAGACGATAGGATCTTGCCAAGTTGCCCAGGCTGACCTGGGCTTAAAGGGGTGCTTGCCCATCATGAAGTCTAAGACGGAAGTATCATTTTTTTCCCCTAAATGTTTGAATCATGGTATTGAGTAGAACAGAAGAAATAAAAGAAAGGTAGGAAGGAGTCAAAAGGAAGGAAAAGGAGACCATAACTTTAATCTGAAAGCCTTGTGCTATTTCCGTGTACGGGTTCTCCTCAAGTCAGTATTCCCCAGCCCTGGAGACCCCAAATTTCTGGAAAATCTATGCATCTTCACTCATAATCTTAAAGTTACTGGAAATTCACTTACTTATGAAAATTGTCCTGTGCGATGTACTAACACATGTATTTTTAGAGTAGATGAAGCAAGGGTAATATGATATTAAAAAAAGAACTATAACGTGGGTACGTTCCAGATATCATCTATTGATCCGATAATGGAGAAAACATCAACCTAAGGATTCTGAGAACAGCTATAACGCCTTAAACTCTCTTGCAACCATCAGACGGATGTCATCTCTGCACACATTCCCGTGCCCACTCCTCACAAGGTTTCCTTTCAAAGAAGAACCCAAGACCCCAAAAGTACATCTCACTCTCAAGATAGCCCATGCTCTCCTTGGCCTTCCTGAATAAATCTTTCACTTGTGTCTCTATTTGACATAGCTTGAAATTCTTTTTTATGATGTCTGTCAAAAATGCTGTTGTTCTGCACTGAGGTCCCCTCTCTAGGACCTCCTTGGATCCCTTCTGGTGACAGCTTACTTTGGCGTCTAACATGGGGCTTTCTGAGGTGCCAACTCTGGTAAGCTAACCCTATGGCCTCTCTTTTTGCTTTGTGCTTTGACTATGACTTATGATATGGAAGCTCTTGTCCCTCTCTCGGACCTTCTTAGTCCCCTCCAATGACAGTATCATTTTATTTCTGGGCATTAAAAAAATATTTTTGAGTTTTAAGTGGACACAATGTCTTTATTTTATTTTATGTGGTGCTGAGGATGGAACCCAGTGCCTCATGCATGCTAGGTGAGCGCTTTACCACTGAGCCACAACCCCAGCCCCTCTGGGCATTATTAAGGGGCACAGAATTCACTTTGGGAAGGACTGGTTAGGTAAATTCTAGACTTCTTTCTTCTTTAAGATTCTGTGTGTCAGGCTGGGGTTGTGGCTCAGTGGTAGAGTGCATGTGTGAGGCACTGGGTTTGATCCTTAGCACCACAAATAAGTAAGTAAAATAAAGGTATTGTGTCCATCTACAACTAAAATTATTTAAAAAAATCTGTTTCTTTTGTTCCTGTGATTAAGGACCCTCAGGGTTTCCTTTATTAGCTACTCAGAGTCCTTGATTTTAAAGTCTGGGGATTTTTAGGGAGAAATGCTTCCCAGATTTTTTTTTTTTTTTGGTTCTGGGGATTGAACTCAGGGGCACTCAACCACTGAGCCACATCCCCAGCCTATTTTATATTTTATGTAGAGACAAGGTCTCACTGAGTTGCTTAGCACCTCACCATTGCTGAGGCTGGCTTTGAACTCGAGATCCTCCTGTCTCAGTCTCCCGATCCACTGGGATTATAGGTGTGCATCATCACGTGTGGCCCAAAGTTGAACCATCAGTTGAGTGGAAGAGAAAATAAGAGCACATATTTTCCCCTTATTTATTTATTTATTTTTTGTACTAGCGATTTAACCCAGGGGCAATTTACCACTGAACTTTTTTTTTTTTTTAAGAGAGAGTGAGAGGAGAGAGAGAGAGAAAGAGAGAGAGAGAGAGAGA